TATATTTTTTCGGCTATTATTTTTACAGCGGCTATACAGTGTCATTTTCTCATTGAAAACTGGTATAGAAGAGGATATTTTCAAGGTCAAAACTTTAGAAGACATGTATCTAAAAATGAGGAATTAANAAAAAAATATACAAATTTTATATATTTTTTCGGCTATTATTTTTACAGCGGCTATACAGTGTCATTTTCTCATTGAAAACTGGTATAGAAGGGGATATTTTCAAGGTCAAAATTTTAGAAGACACTATCTAAAAATGAGGAATTAAAGTGATAATTTGTGTTATCCAATAAAATGAGAGTAAACGTTTTGTTTCAGAGCAGAAGATTTGCTTCATGAATCAAAGTTGGGTAACACCGTTAGTTTTTTAACACATTGTGTGAGTGAGACTAAAGGTGCTCCACTTTAGCATACTTAAAGGACTAAATATGCTCAGTGCTATATTTGAGGGACCAAAATAGACCTACCCTCAAAGATAAGGGACAATATTGGCTAAAAACTCTTTGTGAGATGAAGAAGATGATAGAAACAAGAAGATGGTAATGGGTTGGTAATGGGTTAAAAATAAGGGTCGGGTATTTAAAATTGCGGATGGGTCATTCGTTCTTGAGCTGCCACGTGGCGCTCCGTCTATGTTAAGGGTAAATATGTTTCATAGTATAACGGTAGGGTGTTAATTAGACTGATAGTGAAACGGATGATATATTTAAACAATATTTGATAGTACAGGGATATATATAACCATTTTCTGTATATTAAATAAACGCTCTTGGGAAATTATTTTCTGCTTAGTTACTGAACACCAAAAAATAAGTACTAAAACCACTTATTTAAGTATTTTCCAGGAAAACATTTTCCTCCATCCAAACACACCCCAAATAATAGGTAACACATATAAAAGGTATAGAGGGCTTATTTGATTTCATAATCCAAGATAAATAATTCGATAGTCTGTCAAAATGGAGGATAATATAAACTTACATTACAACCAACAGTGTCCAACAATGACCGATCACTCAAAGGGTACTCAAAGGCTCCAGCAACAAACTTAACTCTCAGGATCCTTTCAACAGCGTCATCAATTCTGGTCATTGAAATCTTCCCAGATTCCACAAGACATCTCAAATGATCGAGAAATAATTGATACCGAAAAGGAACCATCACCTGCAAAATTGTAAGAAGCCGTAAGAAGAGAAACAAGTCATGCAAATAAATCCTAACTCTGAAATCAAGATTTTGTTTACCATATCAATCCCTGCATTGATGGCTGCCAAAATACATAGATCATAATTAGATCCATGAGGATGGGAAAGCCTGTCAAGTGCTTCGGAATCAGTAATAACAATGCCCTGCAAGAGTTAGCATTAAGTTTATTGCAGTGTATGCGATCCTCACATTCTTAGAAACATTAGCGCATAGCATTTCATTCAACTATAGGAAAAATGTAAACCAAGTTTTTGCACTTTTTGATTTGATGAAGTTTTAACTAAGCTAGTCCCAAGAAGCTTTGTATCAGAGAATTTTTTGGTTTTACTAGAACTAATTTGGTTTTGTATGTTAGAACAAACTCGTGAGTGTTTGGATTGAATTTGAGAGAACTGGTTTCGAGAGAGCTTTGGATTTGTCTTCTCGGGTAAACTACCACCAGAGCCCTAAACCAGCTTTTGAGGCTATCATATATGCAAAATCAATGGATTAAAACTGACTAAATAACTTCATACTACTGAATGTATTCCCGAAAAAACGTACGAAAAAGAAAATGGAACTAATGTAGACAATATGAAAGGCCGAGACAATAAGTCCAAAGCACATTTGGGCTTCAAACCAATTTGGTTAGTTTCTATCTTGTTTTATCTTGTTTTTAAACAATGATTCTGAGTACAAAGCGCACGCTTGATTTGGTTTGAGGAGTTATATGGGAAGACGTGAAGTAATGGCCCAAAAGCAATGTATAGTATTAAGAAAAAGGGCTCAAACATGCCGCAGGCAAAAGCCTGGTATTTAAGCGGAGAAGAGTAGAGGTACCGGCCTATTATCCACCGAGTATCAAACCGTGATCCCCTTGAAGATTTCTCCGTTATCTAAGAAAAAGGGGTAACCCTTACCTTAAATCCGAGCTTTCCTTTTAACGCTTCGGTAAGAAGAAAGTGGTTAGCATGCAGGTGGGTCCCATTCCATCTAGAGTAGGACGCCATGACTGTGCAAACTCCCTGAGAAATACAGTCAATATAAGGGGTGATATGTATTCTCTCTAGATTATCATATGATGATATGGTATTTCCCTCATTTACACCTTGGTCAGTACCCCCATCTCCGACAAAGTGCTTCGCACATGCAACAACCTTGTCTCTGGAGTAAAATGCATCATTCAGTCCAAAGAAATTCATGGCATTAAGAGAAAAATATGCAAAAGTAGAAAACCATAAAAATGATCAACAAAAGAGGTAACAGCTAACAGACACTTTTCAGCACCAAAATCTATTTGAACTTGTAGAACGCTAACTTCTACTACCTTCCAGCTAAAAAAGGATAGTTTTGGGGGTAATCAGGGGGTGGTTTCCCTTGCAATCCTGTGATAATTGAGGACATCATCCTAACGAGTTCGGTGTCTTCACCATAACTCTCATAACATCTTCCCCACCTGGGATCTCTACATACCTATTTCACGTTATTTAGATGAAGAAGTTAGTATGCATTAAGATAATAGATTTAGAAAAAGACAACAAGAGAGATGGCAGTTACGAGGGAAGGGGAACAGGAAAATCTTCACCAAGAATTCCCACAAAGACCAAATGACAATTCATCTTGTCTCAGTGTGCAACATACTAACTAAACAGAAGCTCTTGGAATTTAACTTTTTTTACTATTAGTTCTACAAAGCAATGCATTTGCGAGCAAATTGAGGTTCTTTCTACCTTTGTGATAATCATGAGGAAAACCACTACTTGGTTGCTTATAAACACCAGTAATAATCCCAATCCGTGCTATAATGCAAGTTACTCTCTAGTATATACCCCACTCCAATTTATATTGAACTCCTTCCATTCAAATGTTTGATACACTTTGATTTAACGATAACTTTCAAGAATTCATATTCATTAAATGATACAAACTTTAAACTTTGAAGTGATATGTTCCTCTATCAAACTAACTTTTCAAACACAACTTTAGTATTCTTTCACTATTACTAAGATAATACTAAGAAAAAGTCAAATTAACATCTTAAACTCCATTTTTCCGTTAACTGCTGTCCTATAATACGAATGGAGGGGCAGAGGCCGTATCTTTTTTTTTCTTCATTTTGCTCTAAGGGTTATTTATGTCTGATGTTATTCACACTTAACTTCGTTCATCCTAAATCAACTTAAAACAAAGACAATGAAGGGATAAGTAAGATTTTCAACTTACAGCAACACATGGAGCAAAAGTGTAGTTAATGCCACATGCCCTGACTTCAAGAGCAGTTACTACCCCAATCTTTTGAGCCAAGTCTGCATCTCTGCTCCACATTTTATCTAATTTAGGTTTTGGTCTTAAAAGGAAGTTGTCAATGAGTTGGTAACAGAGATCATAGATTCAACCTGGTCGCCCCGAGGCCCACATTTTGCGGGAAAATAGTGGCACCATAAACATTGTTATTTCCATGAATAGCATCAACTCCATAAAGAAGGGGAATCCCGAGCCGCGATCCCAATGCAGCATTTTGGAATCCGTCAACCATCTCTGCCCAAGCTTCTGATGGGGCATCCTCAAATGGCGCACTTCCACCAACGCTGAGTATACTCCCTGTATAACAAAAAAGGTTCACCTAAAATTCAATCAATCAACTATGCCTCAATTCAAAAACAAGTTGGGGTCAGCTACACGAATCCTCCATATTTTCTTCTCTCCACTTAGGTCTATTTCATCTTAAAAGGGCCATCTAAATCCCAATCTTATCCTAAATAGATAACTAGTTAAATCTTAACAGTTAGTATCACCTAAATGAATCTTTTATATTCATTTCGCTCTATTCAGTTTCATTTCATTTCAATACAATGAATTCTTGTCCCTCGCATGGATAACTAGCTTAACCCAACTAGTTAGTATCACCTAAATGAATCCTTTTTATTTTCTTTTTGATGATGAAAAAATGAATCCTCTACCCATTCTACTCTATTCAAGTCCATTTCGCTCCAATACTAAATAAGGGATTAGCTAAATGTCACACTTTTCCAACTAGTGAGTACTTCACCTTTTATTTTTTTATTAAGGTATAGTTAGTACCACCTAAATGAATTATTCATGAGTTTAAGTTCTATACACAAAAGTATAAAAACATATTTGCACAATAAAGTCACTTAAAAGGTAATTGCACGTAATCTCCTTAATAAGCATTCATTTACTAACCAACAACAAATGGTAAGTAACCTAATGTAACACGTTAAATTTTACTGATCGTCGGTGTAATTTAACTGGTTAGGGTGGGTCACTTAACCACTTATTTTAAGTTATCAATATAGTTAGCTGCAATTACCTTTTTAAGTGACTTGATTGTGTAATTAATATTGACACTATCAATGCACAAAACTTAAACTCATAACTAAATCTATTCGTTATAGAGTTTAAGTTCTCTGCACTAACTCTGTACAAATTATTTACACAATCGGGTCACTCATTATGCAATTACACGTGAAACTCTTGATAATCATTAGTTGATAATCATGTAAAAATGGTAACTAACAACCTATTACATGTTATAATTCACTAGTACTGCGAAAAGAATACTCACACTATTTACCTTATCAGGAAAAAAAAAAATCCTCACACTATCAATTTCAAAAGTAATCGAAATTTAGTCACTTTTTCACGTAAAGATAAAATCTAAACAAAAACACCCTTAAAATTCCGGAAAAATTCCAGCATAATGTGTTAGAGTTCGAACTTTTACATATGAGATTCCAGCATAATGTGATGGAGTTCCAACATAATATGCTGGAAGTTTATATGCAGGAGCTCCATAATCCAGCATATTATGCTAGAACTTTCCGTGTTTCAGCTAAAATACTATTTTTCAATGACTTTGCAAACAGTGTTTATTTTTCTATTATCGATCCAAAAGCAGGCTAGCTCATGCTATTTTCACCTATTAAAGTCCAATTCATTCCAATACTGAATAAAGGGCTCTAAATATCACACTTATATCGACACAGACAACTAATTTAATCGTATCACCTACTAATATGAAACTTTTTGCTTTGAGGACGAGGAAATTATAAGGAAAATGTGCACCTATAGAGAGGTCTCTGATAACAGAAGGAGCGGCGACAGTGCGTTCGATTTGGGTCATTTGACCGATCTTTTCTTGAAGAGTCATTCGAGAGAGCAAATCTTTGACTCTTGCCTCGATTGGAGCAGATGAGTTCTTGTAGATGCAATCATCCATTGCTTAAAGTTGAGAATTTTTTCCTTTGCTCGAGATTTATAGAGAGGTGAAGATCTTTAATGAGTAATGAATTGAAATGTGAGATTTACTGACCAAAGATGAAAATGGTCAGTGGAATAGTGGAGTTAAGCTAAGAAGAAAGGGAAGTGAAAAGTGCAGACAAATAGTATATTGCAAAGAATGGACAATCTGCATCCAATTACGATTTGAAGATCCCAAAATAATAGTAAATTTTTTTGTATATTAATGTATAATAATTATACATAATTAGTGTATCTTTTTTTGTATATTTAGTAGCGGCTGTAATTATTTTTGATCGACATGATAAATATGTTAAAAGCCCATTTTAATTCTCTTAAATAAGTGGTTCTGATTCTATCATTAAAATTAAATTGGATAGTTAGGGCCTGTTCGCAACAAATTTTCGTAGTACGAAAAATAAACTGCAACAAAAATAATATGAAGAAAAAGAGATTTTATTGATGAATATTCGTGAGTACAATTCTATGTATCACTTGGTTCTCCTCTCTGAAATTCTCCGTGATTCAAGGGCTTGAGAAGCGTCTTTATCGAATGTAGGATGATGCAGACTTCCTTGTGATGTATTTAATCGCCAAAAATGTCGAGCAACACTTTGTTGTTACGGGTTGATTTCCGAGAAGAACTCTGTTGATCACTCCTTTGTTGAAGAACTATGCACTTGATGATTGATCTCTCTGTTTGTGGATGCCTTTACCAATTGCGTAATGTTCTTCTCCGACTCTGAATCCTCTCTAGAGAGTTATGTAACCCCTCTATTTATAGTTGTAGAGGATGGACGGTCTAGTTACATAGGAACTCTCTTGCTTGATTCTGATTGACTCATGTGAGTCATCAAACTTATATCACAAGTTATGCGATAAGCTTGCTTGTGATTGGCTATGACATGTCATTTTAGCCACTTGGCGACCTGGGTTGGTTCTTGCTTTTTAAATTGGATTGCCACATCATTTAACATATGGCGTCATCTTGTTGGCTTGCAGTTTGACTGGATATGCCATGTCACTTGACATATGGCATGAGTCTGGGTCTTAAGATGAAATGGACCTTGGGCTTGAAAATAATAAAATGGACTAATTTAATTTGTAAAGTCCAAATTAATTATTTAACCCAATTGAATTTAATCCAAATTTTATATGAATTAGACCCAATAAATTTTATATGTCTACATATTCCCCCTACTTCAAGATTTATCGAGGTGTAGACTTGACGAACCATAGAAACGAGACTTGAAGTACCCATGCAGGTCATCATTTTAGGTAAAGACAATTTGTTCGATACCATTCTCACCTGAAACAAATTGCCGAATTTGTACTCACATCCAACTCATCCCTTCTTTGGTAGAATAAGTACTTAATTTAATTAAATGATCCTTAATTAAATAATATATCAGTTGGGAGAGGATTAGTATGTTCAAACTACGAGTAAGCTCGGATGAATCCAGTTACATTCCATGTGTACAACAAATTAATTTGTATGATCAATCCAAGTACATTCACTTAGCTAACGGTTCAAATGCCACATAGGAGTCTTTGTAAGGAACTTGATCACCTCTCTCAGATTGACGTGAGAAGGTAAGGAACTTGACTTCTCCTGTACATTTGGCCAACCTAAGCTGGAAACAACTCTTAAGTATTTTTTAAAAATATTAAATTGTTGGACCCCTTCCTTGTATTACTTAATTACTTGGCCTCATCCTTTTTATATGAAAAAGGACTCCTTTGGAATTTTCAGTCTCGATCAACTTCTTATTCCTGACTATATTCCAGAATCAACAATATGATAGACAGAACTGGTTTCAGACACATGTCATTTCCTTTCACATATTTGGGGTGTCCATTATTTGTAGGAAGGAAGAAATTGGAATACTTTGATGACCTAATAACCAAAATTGTTAAAAGACTATCGGGGTGGCAAAGTAAACAATTATCATATGGGGCAAAGTGATTCTCATTCAGCATGTGTTACAAGCAATTCCAACTTATACATTAGCGGCAATGGACCCGCCCAAAGGAACTTTCAAGCTAATTGAAAGACACTTGGCTAGATATTTTTTGGGCAAAGACAATGGCAAAGACAAACTCCACTAGAGTTCATGGGCAAATCTATGCTGGCCCAAGGAGGAAGGGGGGATTGGAGTTAGAAGACTTAAAGAGATTATTGATTTTTTTGCCTGTAAAAGATGGTGGAGCTTCAGAACACATAAATCTCTATAGGCTACATTTCTTATATCTCATATCTCCTTTGATCACGTAGAACTTTATTTCCTGAACGGTTCCGGCAGGGTTATCTTCCCTTTAGTGGTCTCGCATGCCATGTTAAATCCATTTAAAACTCGAACTGCGTGCACTATTTGGTCTTGTAGACCCCGCTGTTCCATGACCCTCGATCTGATGATATTGGCCGAGCTACCTGGATCAATTAACACACGCTTAACTCGAGATTTATTTATGAGTATAAATATTACCAGTGCATCATTGTGTGGTTGTACGATGCCTTCAGCGTCCTCATCGTTGAAAGATACGGTTCCCTCTGGTACATAATCTCGAGTCCATTTTTCCCTTGTAATGGACACTTTAGTGCGCTTTAATATCGGCCCTCGGGGGACGTCAACTCCTCCAATGATCATGTTAATGATGTGATAAGGTTCCTCTTGCTCGATCTGCTTGTTAGAGTCCCTATTCCTGAAGTGATTTTTGGCTCGATCACTTAGAAACTTTCGGAGGTATCCGTTATTAAATAACCGGGCTACTTCTTCTCTCAGTTGTCGGCAATATTCGATTTTGTGGCCGTAAGTGCCATGATATTTACACATTAGGTTGATGTCCCTTTGGGCAGGATCGGATTGCAACGGTCGAGGCCACTTAGTATCTTTGATTCGCCCGATGGCTGATACGATGCCGGCAGCATCGACGTTGAAGTTGTACTCCGATAACCTTGGTGCTTCCTTGGACCCGATAGGTCTGTCAAAACCGTTTTTGCTCATGAGTCCTCGGTTATTATGACCTCGATCGCTTCTTCTTTCACTCCTTGTAGGGTTGCATCCGGACCCATTACTCCTTCGATCTCCATTGTATTGTTGATACCGATATCTGTTCGATCTTGGTTCATGATCGACGCCTCTTTTGGATCTGTCACTAGTCCTAACGGGATAAACTGATCCTTATGGGGCCCCGAGCTGATCATCTTTGACCCTGATTTTTAATTGGTACCTGTTTTGGACGTCGGCCAAAGTTACCGCCAGGTATTCTATTAAGTTTTTCTTCAACTGTTGCGAAGCCAATGAACTTTGGGGGTTAAGTCCTTGGGTGAATGCCTGAACGGCCCAATCGTCCGCCACCGGGGCAGATCCATCTGTTCCATTTGAAACCTCGACACGAATTCCCTGAGCATTTCGTTATCTCTTTGCTTCACCTTGAAAAGGTCTGACTTCCTCGTCTGGACCTTGATGCCCCCGGCGTGCGCTTTTACAAAGGCATCTGCAAGCATAGCAAACGAGTCAATAGAATTAGGGGGTAAGTTGTGCTACCATATCATAGCTCTTTTTGACAAGGTCTCTCCGAACTTTTTCAGCAGAACGGATTCAATTTCATCATCTTCCAAGTCATTCCCCTTGATAGCGCACGTGTAGGAGGTCACATGTTCGTTTGGATCAGTCGTGCTAGTTAGATCATATTTTATTCTAGTTTATCCTACTGTTGTAGAATGTGTGTATACATAGGAGAGCTATTCTCCTCAATTGAATCATCTAAATATAGAACAAAAGTTTCCTCCTCCAATTGCAACTCTTATAGCTTAATTTCATGAAAGACCCATTATGCTTTATTTCATGAAAGACCCATTATGCTTTATTTCTTGTTGAATTAAAAGCCTTCCATTGCTGGACGAAAATTCATCAATATATATAATATTGGAATGTTGATTTATTTTGCAAACTTGCACATGATTACGGAGTCCAAACCGTTAGGAAATTCTGTAGAAAAAAGACCTATAGAAGGAGCATAGTGGTATGCATAAACACACATTCACTTTTCTAATTCTAAAGAGACTAATAGCGATTTTGGAAGCTTCTAAAATCTACTTATTTTGAGAAGTATTGTTTTTAAAAGTGCTTTTCAAAAAAGTACTTTTGGTGAAAAGCAGTTTATATTTGGCTAATTAATTTAAAAATCTCTTTTGAAGAACAATTAGTGTTTGGCCAAACTTTTAAAAAGTGATTTTAAGTGTATGTTTTTCAAAAGTGCTTTTCATAAAAGTATTTTTGGAAAGAAACTATTTTTTTCTGCTTCTTAAAAACTGTTTCTGCTTCTACTCAAAAGCATATTTTTCCTTCACAAAGCTTGGCCAAACACATTAACTTTAAGAAATACTTTTGACGGAAAAAAAAAAGCACTTTTGGCCAAGAAAAAAGCTTGATCAAACAGGCTATAACACGTTCTGCACGGAAGATGAAGGTCCGAACACCAGTGTTGTAAAAATTTACATATGCAACGTTTAGAAAGAAAGAATTTTAATGCATTATTATCTCCTCTTTGTTTGTTTCTTGATCTATATATTTATTAGTATCAATTAAAATTTCTAATAAGCGTAACATAATTCACAAAATCAAAAAATTTGATGTTTCTTCATTGCATTTATGAATGTGGTTGCACTTTAGTTTCATAGCTTTTATGAATCTAAAATTTTGAAGGGGAGCTTTGGAGCAACGATACATATATTTTCGTGTGCCCTATAAATTACGGGTTCGAGCCGTGAAAACAACCACTAATGCTTGCATTAGGGTAAACTATCTATTTCACATCCCGTGGGATGCCTCTCTTCCCTAGACTGGTGGTGTCCCTCCTATTTGTAATAGGAATATGCCTATGATTACTTTGGCCAAAAGTTTGAATGAGTGGAGAAAAATTAAAGCTCCTCCTGTAGCATTCTTGGATGCTACATATTTTTCTCCTGTAAAAGGAGAGTTCTTTCACTTCTTTCATCACACCATCAGAAAGAGAGAAATAAGAGTGAGGCAACACATAAGAAAATATTCTATGAGAAAAATAGAGAATGTGAGCGATATTGTAGTGAGGTGAGAATATCAAAAGAGGGCTATTTTCTTGTGAGTGTTGTAGTGATCTTTAGAGTGTTTTACTCGGGCCTACAAAG